AGTAGTTGTATACTAAAAGCTATCTGGAAAGCATAGCTTATCAGAATCTGCAGTTCGTGATAAAACGTGGCAGATGAATTCAGACAGTGTTGCCATAAGTGAGACAAGATCGAATACTTTTTTACAAATACAGAAGTCTTTTCAGGTAAGGTGTTTGTCGAATATTACTTCAAGATATTTTACTGTATTGGACAACTACATGGGAATATTCTCGATTTGAATATCAACAAAATGATGCGAATTACTTTGGTTTTTCTAGCATTAATGGCAAGGTGTCAGTAGCGGCTCCAATCATGACGGTGTTGACCACAGTCTGTAAAAGTTTGTTGAGAGTGACTATTGTCTGGCAGGTGGAAATTATGGCTATGCCATTGGCGTGTTGAAAGAGATGGACTGTAGATTTAGGGATGGGCATATCATCAACATATAGTATATAAAGCAGAGGTTACAGAACTCCTGCATCCAACAAAAAAAAAAACAAGAATGAACGTACTAGATAAAGACAGTTGTCTGTTGTTTAAGAAGAAAGAAGTGTATAAGCCAAACAAAAGTAAACGGAAGCCATTCGGTAAAATTTATAGATGAAGCCAAGATGCATAACAGAGTCAAAACTCCTTCATAGTCAAACAACAGCAACAACAACGTGAAGGTATAGATGAGTTCAAATTATTCAAGAGGATGTCTGAAAATTTAAAAAAGTTTATCCAGTGCTAAAAGGTAAGGGTAAAAGCCAGCTTTAACACTTTAACAGAGCAAGTTGTGGTCTGTAGTAAATGTATAAAAACATGCAAACAAAAATTGTTTTTTTATGTAAATAAGAACACTAGTCAGGCTAATTAGACGATATGGTTCATCTTATATCAGAGGCCTGGCAAGTTTAAAAAAACAGTTGGCATCTCTCAAGAGACAGTATAAAAACCCTTGTGTGAAGCATAAAGAAGTAAAACATTGCCAGGGGAATAAGGAACCTCAATGGGACATGCTGAAGATGCAAGTAGGTTATTCTATTTGGATCAGGTACAATGTCGCATCTATTGCTGAAAGTTTGTTGAATATCACGAACAGTAATAGGTATAGTCAGAGAAAAGTCCTCCAGTTAATGAGGATGGATTGAGTTCAGGGAGAGAAAAAAGAGCTTGACGAAGGACATCTGTGACTTCTTTACGGTCCAGCGAATGCTTATTTGGATCATGCAAGTGCAATTCTAGAAAAAAGGCAAAGATATCTGCTTTATCAGTTGAGGAAGTAAGTGCAAAAAATAGGATAATACCTTGAACTGTTTTGGCTTGTCAGCAAACAAAATTTTTTTCCGATAGTAGGAAGAATTTGTAGTGTTACAATGTGCATTATAGAGATAATACCACCATTGAAGCTTCACTGGTCGAACATGGTTACAAACTGTTTGTTACAGAACATGATGTCTAGATAGAAGAATAGTCTCTATAACGCTGAAATCCCATAAACATGTCGAAGAAAGACGCAATAGATCCAATGCATGACATAGTAATGCCAGTCGATGAAGTCTGTATTATGAAGGTGGATAGCAAATGAAATGACAGAAATAAGAAGAGTTGAGTGTGCCAACCAACGTATGAGCACAATCAAGAGTAGAAGGATTAAAGTTTAAAGGTAGAACTGTACGTATGATATCAGATAAGAAAGCTGACGTAGTGGCATTGCAAAGGTCTAAAAAAAAGGGAACTGCTTATATCAGTATGGTCATACATATGACGACTCCTGAGTTAAACCTTGATGCGAAGATGATCATTTCCTATCATATATATATATATATATATATTATGCTGATAGAAAAATGGAAGTGAAGATTAGCCAAAAATAAAATAAAACCTAAAGAACAATTTGACTCAAGTCAGCTAGGATAAGGGAATATAAGAAGGAACAAGAAATATGATACAGAGTGACCCAAAATTGATGAAGTTCTAGTTAGATCAACTATAATAATTGATATATGCCATAATGATGTAACTGTGAAACATACCATCCAAGGAGTAGAAAAAAATCATATAGCATTTTGACTTCAAGGCGACCATATGATGTAACAAAAATGGTAATTATGGATTGAAAGTAGAATATAACTAGAATATGTACTGGATGTGTTCTGATGAAGAGAATGAATCCAATAGAGCAAATGAACACGACTGCACTCCACCTCAACAAGTACCCGATGGTTTATATATATAGACAACTGTTACCAAATGATGGCCACACAAGCGGTCGAAACGTTGCAGTAAAATGAATAACAAAAAAGAAGAATAAATAATTGACTGAAAAGCTCTTGAAATTCATATAGTGATGTATGATTACTGTGTAGGTATATGATATTTCAAAACACTATACATATACAATTTTCTCTACCACTTTATGAAACCTAGTCTTATTATTTCGATAAGAGAGGACAATGGCATCTTCTGGTTTGCTAGCCTATCATCTTATAAACTGTTTGTTATGGTAGGGAGGCAGCTAGTCATCACCACCCACCGCCAACTCTTGGGCTACTCTTTTATCAATGAATAGTGGAATTAACAATGGGATGAAATGACAACTCTTGTTCAGGGTCACCGATGAAGGGTAGAATTCCCCCAAAACCGTTATCACTCAGTGGTTAAGTAGTAAACCGAATGTTAGATTGGGCTTCACGTTTACTTTTTGATGTGATACTTCATTCGCATTTCACACTGTTGGGCACTTAAGTAAGTTATTTAGCGTTCTATCTGTTATTTTGCTCTGATGAAGAGGTGACATAAGTCCGAACACTAATACTTAAAGTAAGTGTTTGTAACATTACATTATATAAACACTGTTGATGACAACGTAACTCTTTTCGTTTAATACTAACAACATCGTGTTACGACAGCGGAAGTCACGTGACACTAGTAACACATCATGAACTTCTAGAACGTTCAATTCCCTTCCTGAAGTCTCGGGAGTTTACTAGATTTCGATATTCTTGTACATATAAGACGGTCAAGACGTGACGGCAACAATGGGTAATTGAACTGCGAAAAGAGATAGAGACGTATTGTTGAGTCGAGCACGTGAGACGTTCGTTGTGAATTATAGCGTTTGTTATAGCGCGACTGTGGAAAGTAAGTGTATTGCAAAGTTGTATTCAGAAAGAATAAACCAGTTTTATTTAAGAAAGGACTTGTATCGCTAAAGTTCTTCTGAAAGAAGTTTTACGGAAAATTAACTAACGAACGGGGGCGTAACAATATTATGTCTTTAATAAAGTTTGGAGACGACTTGTTAAAGGCATCTAAGAAATAACTTCATTACAAGTTTAACATGTACTTGATGAAGACAAAAACCTTGTCGAAACGTTGTACATTTATTACTATGTTAAATTTTATTAGTGTGTGTGTTTTATAGCAAAGCCACGTGTGCCTATCTGCTGTGCCCACTGAGGGAAAACGAACTCCTGAGTTTAGCGTTGTAAATCCATAGACTTACCGCTGTCCTACCACGCTACCTCTATTAATCACAAAGTGTGTTCTTTGTCATCAAACACATGTTTGTATGTGTTTTTAACATTATTGTAATCTATATATGCTTATACTATATTGTGTATGTGTTTTTGTATATTTACATGGATATGTTGGCAATTGTAGCTGTATTTGTATTGTATGTGTATAGCCACTTTAAAAATTAAAATGTAATTCTCCATTAATATTAAGTAGCGCCATCTCTCGCATTGTTCCTATCGACCAATCAAAAAATATGTATCACGCGTAACCAAAAATGTAAAGTTATGAAATCTTTGACACTTAAAAAGTATAGAATTTAAATAATATATATAATGGGGCGTTCTTCTAAAGATAAACGAGACGTTTATTATAGGCTTGCTAAAGAAGAAGGATGGCGGGCGAGAAGTGCATTTAAACTTCTTCAAATTAATGAAGAATTTTGTATTTTCGAAGGTAGGCCTGATGGACGTAATATTTTCCTCTACAAATTACACTTTTGACTAATTCTTATTCGACATGACAGACCACTAAATTCTGTACGTCTAGCTACAAGTCTGTCGGTCTAGTGCATTGTGTGAAATTTATCGTTCGTATAAATTTTACTGACTTTTACTCTTAGCAAGAAAATTTGGCTCGCCTTCACACAGGAGCGTCAGAGTGTGTGTGTACATTATAATATTAATTATTATTTTAACATTTAATTTATTGCAATTTTAATTATGAAATGCATTTCTTCATTGTTTATTACATACTTTTATATGTTACACTCGATTATAAGAAATTTATATCATCTTCACAGTTATTCACTTATTGTAAGTTTCTCAATGTATTTTGTAGGTTATCGATTTAAATACGTGTAAAACTGTAAAATGTAATTGATATACATATGCTTTGACAACACAGATTATTAGAGGAATTTGCTATACATCTCAAAGCAAGGTTAAATTTTTTCCAGCGTATATTTCAAGTATTACCTTTTAATATACGTAACTTTCATAAACGGAGTAGCAAAATAACTGTATATATATAACCATATAACCATAATTTAAAATAAAGGAAAAGTAAAGGTCTCTTATTTTTGTCTTTAATTAATTTTTTGAGTCTACATGTTTTCCTAACACACGTATTTTTAGATAAATACTGAATGGTATCATGTGTGCATCATATTGAGATTTTTTTTCTTCTGCAGGTGTCAAAAAAGCTGTTGATCTGTGTGCAGCTCCAGGTAGTTGGAGTCAAGTTCTTTCTCGGAAACTAAGGTGTGATTGCCTATATTTTGCTAAAGTGCTTTACTGTAAGGACTATTTACATGTTTTTTGCTAGATATATATAGGCCATTGTAGACTAATTATATAGGTATGGTAATAGTTAATATTCAAGGAAATAAAACTTTGTGGCTTATAAAATTATATATACACAGATAACACTACTAGCAGTGTTAGTGTCTTCAAAGTATGTAATTGTCAACAACAAAGTAACATGCAAGTTATTTATGTATAACAATGATATGGATTTCTTTATTGTATTGTATTGTCATCTATATGACTTTCTGCACATGATTTGCAGTATCTTTTGAACAAAACCTGAAAGAAGACTTAATTTTGCAATGTACACAATAAATAATGTTTCATCTTAAATCAAAAGATGTGCAACTAACCCTTTGTAGTCTGGCACCAATACTGTCCTTGACAATTGCAGAACAATATATAGTTTAAAGAGTTATTCTGTACAAATATTCTGCTAAAGTGATGAATAACTTTTATATATATGTAAAATTTTAGCTGCTCAGTTAGAAGTTTCATCTGTTTGTTAATACATACATGTAAAATGTATGTGGTTATATTTAATGATTAGTGAACTCTTAAGTAGTATAACGTTCTGCCAGCTTAAATGAGTTATTTTTTAAAATTGATATAATGAAATGTTATGTAACAGCAAGGGTACCCAACTGATAAGACAATGCATTCTAATCTTTATAAGTAGGAATGTACAAAAATATATTTAATTAATTATATTGATTGCCTCATTTAATTTTTAGTTTCACTCTTATGTATGCAACTTTCTCTGATCAGCAGTTAATATTAGTTAAGATTTACAATTTTATATGTGAATTCAGTCAAAAGCCAAGATTATGGTAATGGATAATGGATCTTTAAATTGATCTAATTTATTAGTTTAATGAATAGTCAGATTACTCAAAGACTTCAACCATAAGATCTGTAAAAACTATCATTAACTATTCAATCAAAGAATATATATGCTGGAAATTTAACTAGTGGAAAAAAGTGTAAAATTTACAACAACACTTAAATTAATTAAATTTGAACTTGCATGTGATATTGAGGAATTTTTTGGAAATTTCAGCTTAAAGAGTTATTCAAATATTTAAATTATGAACATGAGACATTAGTATGTAATAGATCAAATTTACAACTTAAAGAGTGATTGTGATAAATGCTTAGATAATTTCATTGACTTGATAAAATCATACTCACTGGAAAAAGACAAAAATATGAAAAATAGAAAGAACCTTAAAAATCATAATTAAATTATCATTAAACCAGCAGACAAAGGAGGTGCTACAGATATTATGAATAAAGAATAGTATTTAGAATTAGTATGCATTAACTAAACATGAAAGTTAGTTACTAATTCCTTCAAGAAAATATAGAAAGAAACATTATACCACAAAATAAAAAAACCTGAAACATAAATTCTATAATAACAAATAAGTAATTGGGCTACTTAAAAAGGTTTAAGGAAGAACAAACTATCTCTTATTTGCTTCCCAAGATCCACAAAGATAACAAAATTTGGGAAACTGTACATAAACAAAAGTTTCTTCATATAAAAGTATTCCAACCTACAGATTCAAAATTAGGATATAACATATAACATAAAGTTGAAAAATGACAAGGGATCTGTTGGTCTATTTAGGCTATCCCTTCCACTAAACTTAACTTAAAAAAAATATATATATATATAAAATAAAAACTGAAAACCAGATTTTAGCATTCAAATATTTATTAATTTAGCCTTCCCTTAAATTTACTGCATTCACTACCTCTGAAGGCAACCTGTTCAAAGGCAAACTACCCTGTTAAAGAAATAAAGCTGTCTTACCTGAAGATGACTCCTACCCTGCCAAAATTTATATTTGTGTCCCCTTGCCCAACCATTCTCACCATTACATTAAAAAAAAGATGATATATTGTCATTATTAATCCTCTTAATTACAGAAACATAAAGAAAAAGATATGGAAAGGAAAACCCATCTTATTACCATACACACATTCCAAATATTTCAGTATCTTCAATGTAGTTTGCTCAAATATTGGAATATTAAAACATAATCAAAATCTGAATAATTCTGTATCTGAGAAAAATACAATCCAAAAGGTAAGGCAGCAAATGAACTTTGAAAAAAAAACTTTTAACGTGTGCAAAAGTTACAGGGAGAAAGGAAGATATGACCTTGAATATTTGCTGTGACAAATTACAAACCAGAAAATAAATCTATTTTACAGTAGGAAAGACCTTCAAAGTTAATGTCAGCATGAACTGTAAATCAGAAAATCTTGTATAATGTAAAATATATAACAACTTCCATGAAAATTGCATTGATCAAACCAGAGTGAAAATACATTGACTACAAAGTTGGGATTTATCAGCATGTGTTATATTATTGAGTGAACTTTTTGACTCTTCTTGAAACTTTCAGTGAACAATTTTTAAGTTGTTTATTTTACAAAATGATTTCAGACCATTAAAAGAGCAGAAAGCATAAGAAAATGTTAAGCTTGTATATATTTATGTCTCTTTTAATTTCTATTTATGAATTTTTATCTTTTATTCTATTTTTTAAATTTTGATTTGTAACTTTGATGTTGTATTTGAAATTATTATTAACATCTGAAGAGTCCATCTTGGATGACAGTGCTTACATAAAGGATTAATGCAGTTATCTTGTTATTCTGAAAGGACTTATTGATAGATGTATACATGTATGTTCATAAATACATAAACTTTATTATTTCTTTAATTAAAACACTTATATGCATGTGTATGTAAATATTAAAATAATTTTTTATATTAAGTTTACTCTTCATAACTGAGTGGTACTGATTTGCATATAAATAATACAGATAGTCCAAGCTCATGAGATTGCTTTCAGAAAGACAGCCTTTGAGACCCAGCAGTACCAAGTCTTTGAAACCATTGCTATCGTGATAACCTTAATATGTTTGATGAGTGGGTGACTGACCAACCAACTTTAGCTACCTTGTTTCCACCAACCAACCAATATTGTTTAAACCAACTTAATTGTGTGTGTATGTTACTTGAAATCAGTCTATTTGATACTGTGCTTGCAAACACATCACAGCTTTAAAGGGACAGTATATTATAACCTTATGTCTCTGTGAGGCTTTCAGTTATTTTCCGAGGGATAGCATTATGCAGATCAAAGAAACTCCAACAAACTCTGGGAGATTTGGGCTCTCTGACATGACAATACTACATTTTAATCATGTAAATATTTTATTCCGCTAATGATTTGCAAATTTCTAAAGATTAACTTGTCATTTTCATTCCTCAAAAGACTGTTTTCTGACTAATTTAGAGTAGTACCGACACTTAAAAGTGATGAGATTTATATAAATTAATTTTGATGCTTTGAAACATTTTATCTGAATAGTTTATGAGAATATACTACTTATAAATTGAATTAATTATACAACATATACGAGGCCTGTGAGAAAAGTATCCGACCTTTTTTTTTTTTGCGATAACCTGATGGATTTGAATCAAGCGCGCTTGCATGAGCCGACCTTGAACCTTCGTGCGCATGCCTGAATTTTTTCCCGCTTGTTGATTGCA